AAAACTGTACAAATGGAAATCATTTTTCCTGCACAAACTCATCCATACACACACACGCACACACACACACAGAGCCTTCTGCATTAATTCCTGCTTTGTAGGTCCAATGCATTGCAAACGTGTTTTAGTCACTGAGGAAGTAAATGCAACAGTCTTTCCTCAGTATGGCTCCAGTGCAAACAGCCAGCCATTATGAAATTCATTCTGGTCTCATTAATGAGCAAAGTTTGGAAGCGCATCATTTTGGAGCCATAAAGAGATGATTTATAATGAGACTTCACTCAGTGGGAAGGTCAAAGTACAGCAGTTCTCTCTCCAAGTTATCATAATAGAAAGCTATTTAATGAGTGTGGGATTTCTTCAAGAATTCAAAAAAGACAGGATTTGGAAGAGGATGTGTTACATTATGTAGACACCCACATGACTGAATGTTTCTGCTACAGTAAAACCATCAAAATAAAAATCCTTAAAGCTGTTCCTATTTTGAGTTTTTGGCTTGTTTTTAATAAGCGCTTTCAAATGTAAAACACAGATTTGTAGAGATTAACAGATAGACATAATTCAGTATAAAAAAGTTAGCAGGTTTAGTGAACTAAACCAAGTTGCCTAAGGTCAGGCACTCCACAGTGCAAACAAGAAACAATCATGCCCTGAAGCAAGACACTGTCTGGCGAAGTAACAACAAAAGAGCAGAGGTAACTTTCCTCAAGAAATTCATCAGAAGCCTGTGGCAGCTACCTGCCTCCTTACAGCACTCTCTTCAGGGGAGTGCTAAGCATGCTGACGACCCAAATTCAATTACACACAAACCTGAGTCCTCCCCTTAATACAAGTCCAGACCAAAGCCATCTAGCCCCCAACAATAATTTTAAAATAAATAAATTTCATTAACCCATATGCCATAGTCTTCATGCATGAGATGGGGACATAAGGGCTTTGCACGCTAGAAATTAATCACCTGGCTTTCAGATTACATTATTGTGCTTGCTAATGAAGGATGGCAGTGGAAGGCGGGGAGAAGACACTGGAACAGAGCATGCTAGAACTCTTAAAATAAAAATGCAGGCATAACTGACTCAAATGACATTTGTTTTCTAACTAGTAAATTTAGACTGTGGCTTCTTCAGAGTGAGAATTTAGACAGCAATGATGCTTTAGGATTTATTTATTTATTTATTTTCTATTGTTTTCAGGATGATCAGTTCCTTGCACAAAGTGACATTGTTTCAGCCCAACTGAGGGAATGGCATATGGGGATGGAAAGCTGAAGGAAGCTGTGCGACTTCATTAAGCCATGACTGCTACCAAAGATGCCTATCAAACTGTGACTTCCAAGAATATCACTAGGACAGCTGCACATCTGCCGTGCATTGTAGCAAAACACACTCACATCCCTCCTTCCTCAGCAAACTGAGACTTGTAACGGTAATAGTTACACGAGAGAAATTACAACTATTGTACCTGAAGTAGTAAAATTTCATTTTTCTAAGTCTTGAAAAAAACTAAAATTCTACTAAAAAAAAGACACATACGTTAAAACAAGAAGACCTTAAGCGATCATGCATAAAGAAGGATTACTTGGCCTCAAAATTCCCTCCCACCTGGCAGTCTTAAGAACGTCAGGCTGCTTCTTTTCAACATGAGTACATAAGTTACCCAGATGTCATGCTAGTAAAGGTCCAAACTCCTGAGTCTTGAAAAAAGTTGTGTGACTTATTTCCTTGTCTCTTGGAAGTATGCACATCTTCAGCTCCTGGATAATCTTCAGATAGTAAGATTAACTTCACTGCTAGTGTTTTGTCTGTGCTTCAAGCCATCTGCCCAACCCACAGATCCATCATCAGCTCATCATTCTCCTGTCAAAAGCACCTTAAGACTCTGAAACTTTCTCCATCTCTCCCTCACGGATGGAATAGCTATCCTCAAATCACTCCAAAAAGTGGAAGATCTTCCAAAGTTTTGCTACAAGTACTATGACAAAATGCACCTGGTACCAGATCAAGATGATGCTTCTGTCACCAGTTCTGACACAGATACGCTGAATTATATTAAACAGATTGCTTAACTACCTTCTGCCTCCTTTTGCCTTTTGCTCTAATCCTTCCGTACCGCCTCTAAATTCAGATGTTATATACATAAAAGTAGCAGGAGTTTGTAATGACGTTTTTCTATGGTGCACAAGAAGGTTCTGCTTCCTCCTAAGTGTCAATTATACAAATAATTAAGCACTACAGACAGTAGTGACCTCTTTTACTATGCAATCTGGAAATTTTTGTCTAACATGCTTCTGCTGCATGTATAGCCAACCCAAGTAACAGCTTTCAATTACTTTTTTTTCATCCTTCTTCACCCTTAACTCCTTTTACTGTTTGATTCAAATATCACACTGAAATGCAATGGTGCCTTTGGAAATAGTGGTGTCCACCTTCATGCCTACCATCTTGTAAAATCTAACATGACCCAATACTGCATCCTGGGAAGCCCAAGTATAATATTCATAGAATCACAGAACAGCCTGGATTGGAAGGGACCTTTAAGGGCCATCTAGTCCAACAGGGACATCTTCAACTAGACCAGGTTGCTCAGAGCCTCGTCCAACCTGACCTTGAATGTTTCTAGGGATGAGGTATTCTACCGCCTCTCTGGGCAGACTGTTCCAGTGTTTCACCACTCTCATAAAAAAAATTCTTCCTTATATCTATTCTAAATCTACTCTCTTTTAGTTTAAACCATTTCTCCTTGCCCTATCACAACAGGTCCTGCTAAAAAGTCTGTCCTCATCTTCCTTATAAGCCCCTTTTATATACTGAAAAGCTGCAATAAGGTCTCCCTGGAGCCTTCTCTTTTCCAGGCTGAACAACCCCAACCTTCTCAGCCTTTCCTCACTGGAGAAGTGTTCCATCCCTCTGATTATTTTTGTGGCCTTCCTCTGGACTCAGTCCAACAGGTCCATGTCTTTCCTGCGTTGAGGGCTCGAGAACTGGACACAGTACTCCAGGTAGGATCTCATAAGAGCAGAGCAGAGGGGGAGAATCAACTCCCTTGACCTGCTGGCCACACTTCTTTTGGTGCAGCCAAGGATACACTTGGCCTTCTGGGCTATGAGTGCACATTGTCAGCTCATGTCCAGCTTTTCATCCCCCTGCCCCCCCAGGTCCTTCTTGGCGGGGCTTCTCTCAACCCATTCACCCCCCAGCCTGTATTGATACCAGGGGTTGCCCCAACCCAGGTGCAGGACCTTGCACTTGGCCCTGTTGAACGCCATGAGGCTTGCACAGGCCCACTTCTCAAGCTTGTCCAGGTCCCTTGGGATGGCATCCCCTCCAATATTGTCTAACACTTACTCTTCCAGAATTTTATTATTTAAACACTCAGGTAGACAGATATGGAAGACGTCCAGCTAAACTGGGGTTGTAGCCTTTAGCTGACAATTTCAGCTACTACCCTACCACAAAGAAATTTATTTGAAATAATTAATCAGTTTTGAACCATGACCAGTTACCTTATTTACCAGAATCTCCCTAAGAAAAAAAAGACGTATTGTTCTTACATATGAGCGAGGCGAGGCATGAATGGAGATAGCATCTTTTATTACAGCAATCAGCTTAGTTAGAAAAACTTACATGTTATAACTGGAAAAAATAGGCCAAAAATGGACAGCTAGTCTGAGAAAAGATATTACCCTCTTCCAATACTGTTTGTTATAATTTTTTAACCATCACAATGAGAATTATACTACCACTCTTTGCTATTAAGGAAGAAAAAAGCCTAGAGAAGTGAAGGTAATTTTAGCTGCGAAAAGGAGTCTCTCCATTGTTGCAGCTTTCAGCTAAAGTGTGCAAAACTGAAATGAGGCTTTTAGCACAATACAACTGAAAGACACCAGGAATTTGCTCTCTTAATACACAGCACTTCTATCAAATTCTTGCCTCACATAGGAATGGCCAAAATAATCCCAGAATTCACTTTCCTTTAAAATAATGTTGAATGGGGAAATTTCAGACAATTGTTTTTGCTTTACTGAGGGGAAGATATAGGGTAAAAAGCTATAAATATAATGGGAATGGAAGCAAATCTCACAAGTGATGGAAATCAATAATTTAAAAGAAAAACAAAGATCATAAACTAAGAGAAGGAAAGTGTGAAGAAACAGACATAAAGGAGAAGCGTAATGGGTTGAAATAAGAAGATATTCCAGTTTTTATACTTTCCTTTCCCAAACAGAATGGCATGAACTTAAAAAAAAAAAAAAGGAGGGTGGAGCAGAACTGTGCACAAAAGTCTTCAACAGTAGAGCTATTCAATATAAATCACAAAGTAAAGGAAAAGAAACTGAAACAAATTTGAACACGGGAAGAAAACCAGAAAGACTACCTTCTTGGTTTGAGAACCTCTTCCTTCTGTTTTCTCCATTCTCCTTGTCTTTGAACTTGCAAATACCTGCTATCAGAGTAGTTGCCAGTAATTGCAGTTTGGCTAGGTCTCAGTATTTTAAAATAGACCCAAACTCTGCCTACCCTGGCTGGGTACAACAGAAGTAAGCGTAGCACCTAACACGGGAAGATCTTCCCACTGCCAGCTCCACAGTCAGCTCCTCTCCACCTACTAAGCTGTAAATCTGCGTAGTCACCAAAAAAGTGGTTCTCGAGAAGATTACAGGAGATCTAAGGGTAAAAGAGAAAATTAAGTCTTCAAGAGGACTACTACAATTTGTACTAAAACACTAAGGCTCCTAGCCAATTGTACATATACATACACACACACACACACACACATATGTATATTTATGTATACCTCCCTGTTTGGGTGTGGCAGACACTGTGCCATCTACACCCTTTGGCATGTCAAGGGTTTATATTCTGTTCTTTTTTCTCCATTTGCCTAATGAGGACATGACTAATTTCCATATAATTAATTCCAAACTTCCTTTTCTGCATAGAATTGTGACTCAAGAGGAATCAGCATGGCATGCTACTCAGGATTTTTTAGCATTATGCAACCTGAAATGTCACAGAAAGGAACTGACCACGCTCAATTGATTTTCAAGACAACTAGGCTGCAGAAAAGTCAGAAGTTCATTTACACACTTTTCAACTTTGCCAATCAATGCAGCAAATACATTTCTTGACCCTTGCTTAGAGAAAAAATGAGGATAACCTTTAAAGACTAGGAGTACTCACACATCATGGATTTGTCGGGCTAGAAATATTCATTTCAGTGATGAAAAATCTGACTGAAAAGGCTAACATTTTTAAATTACATACCTCCATGTTTCATTAAAATTCCTTCTTATCTGCACAAGAGCATAAAAATCATCAGCCTAAATACATGCAGGGACAGAAATGACAACGGCTAAATTTTTCAGGAGTCCCTCTGAAGAGGCCTTAACATTTTTCCCATTATTAAAAAATACATCTTCCACAATTCACATATAAATAAGAACTAAACTGTAAAGACTACCCTGTAGTCGTATTTTTACTTCTCTGATTCAAACCGCTTCACTATTGCTGGTTGTTTGTCTGAGGTGATTTCTGAGATTAATATTTCCGATATTTAAAATTATTAATATTATGAAAATGATAATAATGCAAACATAATAATGCTGAAAACTCCATAGACACTCTGTTTTTAATCACCTACCAGCGTCAAAGCATCAACATCTTAAATGCTTGAAAGTGAAATGCCTTGAAGCATGGTCTCCACAGAAGGCAGCACTCTGGGTGAAGTTATATCTAGGCTAGTCACTAAGTTCCTTAGAAACCTTAACTGCAGTCTCGATTTCACAAATGGAAGAATTAGGTAGTTGGACCTTTTTTTTAGGTTTACGCCTAAAATGTATTGTATTGTAATGCATTATAAAAGACAATGTATTTTCCTTCCTTTTGCTCAGTGACTTTCCAGAATCATGGAAATGTCCTCCTCTTCAAGAGAAAACTAGAATTTCCACATTTCTATCTGTATTTGTTATCTGTGATAGACCCCAGACTATACAGATGTTCTCTTCCTAAGGCTGTCATTTTCTTTTCTGAAAGTTGATCGATTCTGGAGGCAATGCAATAATTAAGTTCCCAGCCGACAACAATGAGCATCAGTAAGCACGACTTGAGTCCTTTGCTTTGGAGAAGACCTGAGCTCTGGCATTTCACTGAAGAAGTATTTAATTTAGTTTCTCTTTGAGCACATACTCATCGCTCAGAGCTCACAATGCACATGGCAACACTAGTTAGAGCACAAGCAGGATGAAGCACTCTGAAGTCCTGACAGCACAGAAGTAAAGATGGGTGGTATAGAGAGACCTGGATAGGCTTTATAAGCGCTCTGCACATAAACTTGTCAGTGTATGCCTAAAAGCAGATGCTTAAAGACGGTGTCTAGGAACTCTGTTCAACAGTAGGCGACAGACGAACAGGACCTAAACACCCACCTTTCGGACTGAGCAAATGTGATAGTCTAGAATCAACTGTGCCCCTACCTCCTCCTTTGCCTCTTGGCCCAAGTGCTTGTGTGAAAGGTTTACATACTTTCCACATACTGCAAGTATAAATGAATTGGGGTTTAAACCAACAGTTAAATTATGAAGAACATGTCCTACTGCCTGCAACAGACCTCCCTCAGACAAGAACGTTAACAGCTGGGGCTGACCTCACTCCTGTCAAACCCACAGTCAGATTTTTAATCTTATCATAGAAATAACTGGAAGGCTAGAAAACTTACTTCATTTTAATTTTTGTTATTTGCTTTCTGAAATCCCAGATTAAAAAGGTTTACATTCTTAAGAACTAGCCAAAACCATGAGGACTATGTATATTGGTTTGGGGTTTTTTTTTTCCATTAAAGCTGAGATTCTCACTGGTACAGATGTTACAAGTGTATAATTCGTTGCTCACAGTTTACAGTATGTGTATGTTTTGCTAAAAGGCTGTGGCTTGTCAGAAGAGAACTGGGCCGACTGCTTGTCTTACCAGGCAGCTATGCACTGGTTCAAGCAGGACATTGGGAAGGAGGAGGGAGCACCCTCTCAGAGAGCACCAAAATGAGAAATGCTGCTGCAGTGCACGGGACAACAGGGGAAGCTGTGGGAAGCAATGAGCGATGAGGATGAGAACAGGAGGCTTGAGAAAGGTAGGGAACCAGGTCTCAGAAACAACAGGCAGACTTCTCTAGACACCTACAGGAGACCACAAAAATCCATCTAAACAAGGGAAAAATAAGAGGCCTTGCCCTTGCAAGGACAAAAGTAGGCAAGGACAAAACCTGCTTTCAAACATGGCTATTTGAGTATACATCACCCAAGAAATCTGTTTTGTCTCTCTTTTATGAGATTCTGCTTTATTTTAACATTTGTATTAAAACCAAACCAAAACAAACAAAACAAAAAACACCCAAAAAACCCTATAAAAAGTTTTAAAGATTCTTGGTGTATTCTCTTTAAGGAAAAGGTCCAGGCAGGACACCTGTCTGAGATGACCTCACCAGCCTAAGACGTAAGGTTTAAAATGCTGAGAAAACTGGTAACACCAATTGGAACTGTATGAGGTGCCTTCTTGAAAGTACTGTCAATAAATTATTCTTTGCATATAGAGGTTTGCCTTTGCTCTAAAAAATGCCACTGATTCTGACAGAAAGAAACCGTATTGAATAAAAGGGCAACTTCTCTTCGCATTAACTTTGATTTTCCAAATGCAAAAGACCAACCAACAAACAGCATTTTGGAACTAACAGCAAAAATTCATCCTTTCTCTATGGTCAGGAGCAAAACCACCTAGGAGGAAATTTGGCTCCATACTGGGTAGAGAAGAGCTTAAAAAGAGAGCCCAGAAAGCTGAGCTGTCTTTACCTGGGATCTAAGCTAGGGTACATTCCTGGAGGGGTTTCCTCCAGGCCAGGGCTGCAACGTGAGTAAGATGTTAACTACATTTGCTCATGACCTGTCACTTCCCCTCTAGATTCAATTATTTTTAATAATTTCCTTCGAGGACAGGAACCTGATAACCAAATTGTCTGTGTAGAATCTAACTTGACAAAAAAAAAAGTACAACTAGAAAGATCTTTAAGTAAATGTTTACAAGTGGTTTAGCATATAAGTGGGTTAGTTCTAAAAATGTAACAGTTACAACAATGGCACCTTGACAAGGAGGTAGGTGGTGAGACAGCAGAAATGGGCATTAAGGTTCTTTAAGTCACTGTGGACGGGTACAGAAAAATGCAGAATGTCTAAGTATTTTGCAGGAACAAAGGTCTTTCCTGGAAAGAAACACAAATGAGGAAAAAGTACTTGAGCTTTGCTTTTTGAATGCTGCAATTTGTTCATTTTTACCTTGAAGTTATCCAAAAGCAGTATTTCATGCCAATTCACCTGTCTTGTAAACCATTTACAAAGCTAGACAGCTGTGGACCCCCTGTGGGGGACTATCTAACTTTTTCTGATGATGCAGCTAGTATTCCTGGACCATTTCCTAACTTCTTAGAAACCAATTTTTCTCTTTTATCCCACAATTGCAATTCATGCAGAATTTGTATTTCAAAATATCATTAATTTTAAGCATGCTGTCTTTATATACCTGTAGCCTGGAAAAGGTCATTTTACAGATCAGTAAGAAAGAAAAGGGTATCCTTTTGTATGTAAAAATCTGATTTTCAAATTCTGAAAAGAAATAAATATCCAAAAGTGTAATATGGTTTGCAAAAATTCCATCGTTGTTTATCTCATATTGTCTTTCAGTGACAACATAATTAGTCAATATGACAAGGCTTGTGAAATTGGGAGCATGCTTTAAAGAAAACTACATGCAGATGAAGAGTTACAGATATATACATATGGTTAGAAAAGGAAAAGAAGCAGCTAAGAGATACTTTATTCCTGAAATTTCATTTAACAAAGACTGTGTTCCAAACAAGTTACTGGAATATAGCAGGACAAGCGTGTTTCAGTGCCATCTAGCTAACGCTCAAGGTAACTTGCATGACTACACAGTTGTTTTTTTTTTTTCCTGCAAATATCCTTTCTTCAATAAAAAACAAATGGAGAAGTGGCACATTGTTTTAGCTTCATATCCATCAGTGTGTTGAAGCATAAAAAACTCGGGTTGCTCTTGAAATACTTGAGCTTTGATATATTTATGTGAGGAATGTTAAAAACGTAACCCCAAAACCCTTTCTGCTGTGACTGAGTTCTTGATCTGGACAGATCCACATGACTGAGTACTTTAAATACTGTTCTTTCAAGTATAAACATATTAGGTGTCATTCTGTTCAATTCTTTTGTGCCATACATTAATGGAAGGGTTGAGAGACAAAAGAAAAAAAAGGAAGTGCAAAAAAGGAAGGCTATTTCAGCTTGGTTTAATAAATGGAAAGAGTATTGATTTCTAAAGAAAAGAAATTTGTAAGAGCAAGTGAAGAACATATTTTGAAGAGTGGAACACTACACTTTAAATTCTCTGAAACTTCACTTTGCTTCCTCCATAGAATGAGTTTCCAGATAACAAAAGACATTTGCAGTCCTGACCATGTCATTGTGACTATGTTAACACTAAGTAAAAATGTGCAAGCTCTTATTGAACTTTAATCAAAATTCTCCAGATTAAAAAAATAATTTTATAGTCTAACACTTCTCCCTCCAGCCCAAAATAGATGGGAGGAAAAATGGTTTATTTTGACTCAGCAATGTGATTTTAGATCCCCAAAAAACCATAATTGAATCATAATGGCCCAGCTTTAAGTCTTCCTGGCTTGAAAGTGTACCATTCAAACCTGTTTAGAACTACCTGAATAGCCAGCATATACCTGCTAAGTCATGCCATTGAAAATCTCACAAAAGAATAAATACATAACCAAAACCATGCTTGTTTTCCTCTACACAGTGACTGCATTTTGGATTTCAGATTGTGAAAGCACGTAAAATGAATACTCTTAGCTCAAAAATACAGCAATCCCAAAACTCAGCTAGTCCAGTGGAAAAACAAAAAACAAACAAACCACACAAGAAGTTGCAAAAGCATGAAGTAGAAGGTTGTGGAACATTGTACCAAGGCCTAATGTAGCTACCAGATAATTCTGTAATAAAGTTACTCTTCACTTCTCCTGTAACATAATCTTTCACTATTTAATCCCTTTGTCCCTATTTTCTTTTTTTTGGCTAACATTTAATTCATTCCACTTCACAT